ATGAAAAAACAAATGATTTTTCCTTCAATAAAACAAAAGTTTCACTCGAATTGAAGAAATTAATTTCTTTATGTTTCGTTACGAATCCCCACGACCTTCTGCCATCTGTCAGCCGATTTATGCATTGCTTCTTGACAAAAATGTTTGGTTTAAAAATTTTTTCCTGTCCTACATCCGATATTGCCATTAATCATTACCTCAGATGGCCAGCTCCCAGCTCAAAACGAAGTGTGCCTACGCTTAGTTTCAAACCTGAAAGAAATTCCAAATTTGGTACTTAAGAACTCGCCCAGCCAGATTTTCTTTTTCAGTATCAGATATAGAGTTACTAACCTAATTTAGAGATAAAAAAAAAAATATAAGAATTTATCGGGGCGTTGTTTGGAGAGCAAACCTTGTTTGGTGGCTGCGAAAGAATCGCCCACTTAAGCTCTTGCAAAGTCGCTTTTATAATCTTTGTATGTACGACCTGCCACGATCGTGAAGAAAGATGACTTTGTCTTATCTATTGGGTCTCTTCGGTTAGATGACCTCGTTCACTCCATGCAACTGGGCAGATCTATACAGATCTTTGTTAACCGTCTTGTTCTTCTATAGCATTTATCAACGTGTAACATCCTCCCGGTCCCACCAAGGGTAAATTATCGTTTTTTTAAAATGGAGATCTAGTTTAATTTCAAGTTCGGGCGTACATCTCGGACGAACTTATCTTTTTATTTTATATCGTCATGAAAATACCACTTCTTATTGGTAATAGTTCTGTATAGAGACCTATTACTGTGACTGCGTGTTGCTTCGCACCAGGCGAGGCTGTGTTTCTTTGTCATATGCACTCAGTTCATGGGGCACTCCAATTCCCAATGACTGAGTAAATCCCGTAAATCTAAGGTGCTTGTCTATAGTCATACGACCGCAGTTCATTTCTTTCTTAAATTTTTTTCTTTTTGAAATTACAAATTATTTGTCAATCATCTTTCTTTTAAAATGTCTCCAATCTGAGATATCCTTCTGCATTTTTCAGTTCAAAAAACCCCAAGCTGCTGCTCGACCTCATGTAAAAAGCGAGCTAAAATAGGTGCCGGAAATGCGCTTTTTCTTTCTCACTTGAAACTTTCGTTCTTGGAGCCTATGCTTGCATGTTTCACAGTAATTATAATGAACTTACAGACATGTATTTTAAAGGGCATACAGAACCAAACCATTAGTAAAAAGAAATAGATACACTGGAGGTAAACCGAAAATAGTCATTTTCTGACTGTCTATATACATATTACCGAAAGTTATTGACTTTTTTTAAGCCCAACATTAAAGTAAATACCGCGTATATTTTCAGATCATATTACTAGACTAAGTATGCGATATTCTGGTCAATGCGCCATTTTTTTGTACCACCACAGTTCCATCTACGAAGATCTCCTGGTCCATTTTTTTCAATCGGTGGTTATAGGTAAAGGTCCAAATCAATCGTTTTTTCGGGCAACAAAAGTTCATAATGGAAGATACTTTTTTAATCCCATCGACACATAGCATCCCCTTCTTTAGCATTAGTCTGCACCTCTCCACAAATTGTGGAGTATTTTATTTTTTATATTTGTTGTTTGTATATTTTTATATTTGTTTTATGTTGTATACATTGTTGTTGTATGTGATCCATTTTTCACCAATCGTGACCGACCACTCTAAAACTGGCTTGATTTCGTCACGTTTTCGGAGAGTTTTGTAAATGGAAATATTTTGTGTCCATTCGTAACCGGTCGAGGAGGATCTCTTGTATCTGAAGCACTAAAACGAATGCGACAAAACCATCTTTGTGCCATTTTTTCAGATGTATATCTTCATCGTGATGGAATGATAGCGAATATTATTAGTATTCAAGGCGGTCTGTCTCGGGTCTAAATAAAGGCATTCTAACAATTTTAGCCCATCTACTGTTAAATGACACTAATGTCGATTTGACTTAACTCAAATTACGTAAGATATTTGCCTCTGAAGCCATCCGGCTAGTAAGGCAAAACTTTTTCGACATACCTATACAGTGGATAGCTAGATAAGCATTCGTAGACAGGCTGAATCTTAGACAATCATGTGTGATGACTGATGCAACTGGAAACACAAAACAATTGTAGCATTCAAGTTGAATATAGTCGTTGGTCGAAACGTTTCTGATGAGGGAATGTTTACAACACAATCAGAGCAAACTTGGTTACTTCGCACTTAAACGGGTAGCTTTGGTAACCCAGAGTAACAGTCGCCTAGCACAATAAGAGCCACGCTTGCTTTGCTAAACAAATTCGTCAGTGATGAGCAAGGCCATTCGAAAAAAAAAGATGACAGCTATCACAGGCCGTTTGCCGAAAATATAGTCTGCCTTATCGGGTCGCAAAAGGGTATAACAAGCTCCCAAAAAGGTTTAAGTCAGCTTAAACTAATTGGATGACGAGATTTTTCTGTTCGCTTTATAATCTTCACGTTAGGCCTCGTTTGGTGAGCAGGAACGATCATCGAAGTCTTCAATTATAAGGTTTTACGATTCCGACCATGTAAACGTCAACACACAAAAGGCAAATGGAGCATAATAAGCAAGATTTAAAGGGTGAACTAATTTGATGCACAAATTTCCGCTGATTTTCTGAATACGCATCAGCAGCTCCTATAGCTACCATTTTTCTTCATAAAGCCTTTACCATGATCTATCAAAGCTTTACGTAGCAATAACTGGCATATTTGCTGTTCATGATTACTACACCACTATATGCTAAAGGATAAGTAGCTTCCTGACTACTTTGAAATCTTGCTCTCGGAGCTTTTTGTCAGGGTTTTCAAAGCCAGAGAGGTGTACATGCTGTTGTCATCGTGCAACAGTAAGATATTTACCAACCACACTAAGAATGCATGGGGTAGTCTAAAGTTGGGCCTAGAGATAATCTGACTCACCAGCACAAGTCTGAGTAATAGGAATAGTGATAAATGCACCAATTGCTTCTCTTGCTAGATTCCCCAGACTACCCATATAGTCCTCGTAATAACCCCCAGGGACACGCGATGCTCTGGGTTTGAATGTGGGCGTAGATATACTTCGTCTCGTGTTGAGAGCCAGCCGTTTGATTGAACCGTCTGACGGCGATGTCGGACGTAGAAATTGAAATATTCTGACTGCTCGTATTATGCCTCTTACTCTGACAAGACCTTGAAGCAACGCTAAACGGTGTGGTATGGAGAAAATGTGTCTTTTAGGGAGGTCTACAAAATTTTCGACGTTTGATAAGGATTGTTGAAGCAACCAGTAGAAAAGAAACCCTCGGCGTTGCTACAGTTTTCAATGTATATGAATATAACATGAACTTTTCGCTTGGAACTTTTGCCAAAATACTTTTAGATGAACAAAAAAAGGTTAAAAACTTTACCGTGAAAACCGCTAATGGCTTTTTATCGAAATTCAAAGAACGGCGATAGCCACACCTTAAACGAGCAAGTAAAGGCCTAAATGTGCGCAAACTTAAGAAAAAACTCTTATTAGAGTGGGATGCTGGGTAATAGGCCGCCCTCGGAGAATTACAGGGCAAAATCGAGCTCAGCCTAAGACCTTTTAAGAAACGCTTCGGGGCGGTGGTCCGGCACAGAACATCAAAGCGTTGCTAATCAAACGCGATGATAGCGCAATGAAGTATTATTTTTAGTTCACCTTGAGCGAAGAAATGCTGACCGTGTTAAAAGCAATTCGTTTTTCTGAAAGAACCATAGGTTTAGTTATCGACCCACAATATCGCTCTAACAAAAATTAAAGAATTGCTTACCTACAAGGAATTTAAAAGCAAGAAAGTTTGCTGTATTTATCTCCTGCGGAATTGAATAGGGTCTACCGGGCGACTACAAGCATGCGGACGCCTTGTCTCCCACAAGAGCTGGAGCGACCTTCCCCTATGGCCCATAAGAACGTTTAATATATGCTCGAAGTTCTAGCGGATCAACGGAAACAATCTTAGCACTATACTATAATGACCCGCAGCCAAAAGAACACGACGGTTTCCAGTTCCAAAAGCTTTATTACGATTATTTTAGAACGGCATTTCAAGGCTCGTACGCCATTCTGCCATGATGTATCAAGTAGCCGAAGTTAAGCTTTTGTGAAAGACGTGTCGCTTGCGCCTACGCTTAGACTAATAACGTGCCGCTCGTATACGTTTATTCGCGAAGATGAAGGACAAAAGTGAACGGTTAAAGCAAAACATCTTTTATGTGGCTATATATTGCTGGACCAGGTATGTGTATATAACGACACGCAGAGACAGTAATTAGAGTACAGGAAAAGTCTTCATTAACATTGAAATCGTGGTTTACCTTTACCCAAAAAAGCAAAAATCCCGCGATTAGGTACTATCTAAAACAATTTCGTTACGAGTTGGAAGTTCGTATTGGTACGTACAGGCGATTAGAAATACGGAACGACTTAATATTGGTGAAAGATCATAAACAGTTTTAGAAAGATAACAGTGTGGCTGTACAACGAACGCCAATTTTTTCAGTACGCAATTTCTTCAGAGCGGATATTTCCAATAATGTAATTGGCCATTCAGCGATTTAACACACTAAAAGTCTAGGTGGAGTAGTGAAGAAATGTTGAAACTATCGAAAGTAGTGGACAGAAGATTTATGGGCCTGACAGTTTGTGTGAACCTGTTTCGTGAAACCTTTACGTTGCTACTTACTAACGATTTACTAGTCTGATTTCTAATAAATTCGATAATTACGAATCTTTTATCTTATGATATCGAAATTCGAAGTTTTAACATCTGTACGGTACTTTGCCGACTTC